TGTTCATACCCAGCAGCGCCAATACAAGCAGGAGAAATTGATATAAATGTACATGAGAGATAAAGCTGCCAACTCCCTTGGAAAAGCTATCAACATTTTTTCATGTGCAAACATGTACTGATGGCACCCACACAGGAGCCTGCCTTTAAACAGGGAGGTAAACTACTCTTATGGGTTCAGATACCAATTAGCATCATTCACACACAACTGCAATTACACTGGGAGAAAGAGGGGGATTAGGGAGTTCGGCTGATGCAGAACCTCTTTGATTGATCACCGGCATGCAGTACAAGGGTGGCCAATAGGTAGTTACCCAGGTGTTATATGAACTGGAACTCCTACCACTCTTTGCCAGGTTCAGAATACCTATAACTATATAACTAAGATATTAAGGGTTATTTACTAAATTGCGAATTGTCAGAAATTCAATGTAGATTCAAAGTGAATTTAAAATTTCATAGTCAGATTGGAAAATGTTTTTCAAGTCAGTTACGTTTTATTTTGGTATTAAAATCCCATCCATAAGTGTAGCACATGTGCAAAATGTGTTATCATTGTGTACCAAGGATGCAAAAGTCAAAGGAACACTTGAAAGCAACATGTTCTTCCTGTTGTGTTGGTTGTGGTGCCAGAAGGGCCCAGGCACCATCCTACCCTAAATAGTCAAATAGGGCTCTTCTTCTTCTGGAGGTTTAGAGCTCTCAGCCAATGAGCTAAACCCTGCACTGTTGGGTGAGCTCAGTGCAGGGAGCTTACGGTGGAGGCAACTTGCAACTTGCTCGCTCAGTGCATGGAACTTCTGGTGGAGGCAATTTGTGCCTTGTGGTCATGATGTAAACTGTTCTTAACTGTGGTTTGACTGTTTAGGTGGGAGGGAGCCTGATCATTCCTGGCACCATAAACACTACAGTGTGACGTTCCTTGAATGGGATATATTAGGCACCAGACATCTACAGCTTAATGTGGTGCTACTTGGACATATAGTCTGTCCTTGCACCTTCAGCAGTGTAAAGTTCTGCCTAATGCCGCCTCTAGTGACTGTCACTCCCACAGACACTAGAGGGACTACCTGGGTTTGGCCCTGCAAAGATCACAAGAACGACACAGACGCTGAACGTTCCTCTACAGAGAAGCATTTACTCAGTGCATCTCTATGAGAAGATGCTGATTGGCAAAGAGCAGCGAATTGCTGCCCATGTGCACTAGCTTCCCAGTGCTTTCTAATGCGGAAGAATTGGATTGTTACCGGGGAGGCAGGGCAGCCGAACAGAGACCAGCAAGCTCAAATGTGTTGTCCCCTAAACTACCAGAGTTCATTAGGTAAATTTGAAGATACTTTGTGATATTTTTTAACCCTCATCCTGTGCCGATGATCCTAAAAATGTAAAAAGGGACATTTTTTTTTTAATGCATTATGGAGATAATGCAGCAAAAAAAAAAGAGGAAAATGTAAAGAAAAAAAATACACATTTTTAAATCCCTTTTTTTGTTGTATACGTTAATAGGATATGTAGTTCAGCTGTCAGCTTTCTACTGAAAGCATTACAGCATGTGGCCAGTCGCATTTTGTCACAATGCCAGTTTTGCAAAAGAAAAAAAAAAAGGAAACCATTTAACTATAGCTCCAACTGCTTGCTTTCGAACACTTCAAAGAGGAAATAGGATTTACTTTGAACATAAAAATAGCTGTACATATCTCTGACTTCCATGGGACTGTTTGGTAGGCACAGGTCTAGCAATGCTTTCTGTGATCTATGTGAAAAGCCTCCCTCATTAGCTGCACGCCTGGCCACCAGAGAAGGCCTTGAGAAGGACACTTAAAGTAGCCTAGTCACCTCAAAATTATCTTTCTCTTATTGTTTCCTCTTCTCTTCTAAAATGCTGTTCTTTTCTTAATTTGTGCTCTATTTCACTTTAAAACATAACACAAAATAGGAACTACTTTGTCTTATGTATTTTTCCTACGCTTGACAATTGTGACAAAAGGGTGGAGCTTAAAACAAACTTTATTTCTTTTGTCGAGTTAACTTTCACACAATACTCACCTCTATCCTGTTCTTTCTCCATTGCAAGAATTTCAAGCGCCACGCATGACCAGTAAGATTTTTATCCTCTCCAAAGTACTCCCCGGTCGCATACTGGGCAAGAGAAGGCAGTGACGTTACATCACTACCAACAATTAGAAGATGGTGGCGTGGGGAATGAGGTTCTGGTGCCGCTAAGATTGCAAAATTAAAGGTACAGAGAGGGGAATTGGGAGCAAATAAACACTGATTGGGGACACTGAGGAGTTGAAGAATTGGGGAGGGGGGACATAAAAAAAATAAATTAAATATCCGGGACAGAGCTGCTTTAAGATGTCGAAACATTGTCTCATCACTTTAAATGGCTAAATAAACCCCCTACTATTACTGTTGAGTGCTAATGATCCATTTTTACTGTGAATCTACTTGTCCTGACAGAAAATTATTTAAATTAGAAAGACTGTTAGAAAGAGATACACAAAGATGCTGGGGGAATAGACACAAAGAGGTGCTGGGGAATAAGAAAAATAGGCACACAAAAGGGGGACAAAGAGACAAACAGAAAGGCTGAGGAGGACAAAGAGACACACAGAGGGGCTAAGAAGAGAATATAACACACAGTGGGGCTTGAGGGAAGAAAAAGACACGCATAGGGGATTGGTGGGACGAAGAGACACATAAAGGGACTAAGGAGGACATTGAGACACACAGAGTGGCTGGGTGAACAAAGACACACAGAGGAGCTGGGAAGAGAAAGAGACACACAAAGGGGCTAGGGAAGAGACGCATAGAGTGGCTTGGGGAAGAGACACACAGAGGGGCTAAGGGGGAGAAAGAGACACACAGAGGAATTGGGGAGAAAGCGTTTTTGCTTTTTGAGGGGGCAGTGCACAAGTAGCTGGTTTTGCCTAGGGTACAAAATGGTCTTGCACCGGCCCTGGTTGTTATGGTGTCAGGAGTGACCTGCCTCTCTCCCTCCATTGTAAGCAGTCAAACTGTTTACATTTTACAGAAGCTTGACATCTTACTGAAGATCCGATGGGTGCCCCTCCCCTATTACATTGCCTCAGCCAAAGAGCCTAGCTGAACAGTTCAGCAGATAAGATCAGCCAATGAATGCTATCCAAATATGAACAGAATTGATATTCCGAGTTACAATTGTATATTAGATATATGATCATCAAGGATCTGGGTTTCAGATACCAGTTTATATTATTCGATTCTTCAAATACAGTTTGACATAACGATATGGAAACAGGGGCCTGCTGGCACTATAGACATTCTGGTGTGCTGTAGTGGTTATGGTTCTTAGAGTGTACCCTTAAAGGGACCCTATAGTCACCAGAACCACTACAGCTTAATGTAGTGGTTCTAGTGTCTACAGCATGTCCCTTGAATCAGTGCTATGCGTTTTAACATAGAAACATAGAAACAGGGGCGTACCTAGAGCATCTGGCACCCAGGGCAGATCCTGTGTTTGGCACCCCTACCTCCACCCCCTGCACCCCTCCCACTTTAAAATGTAAAAAACACCCATAATATTTTTAATGTTTAATGTTTTTATTTTTTCAGATGTGAAATTTTGAAAAAACACTGTCCTGCCCCCTTCTACAAACCCCTCTCCTGCCCGCCGTTCTACAATATGCATGTCCTGTCCCTGTTCTACAAAATCCCTGCACCCCCAGTTCCACAAGTCCCCTGCTTAGCCCCCCTTAAACAAAATCCCTGTCCCCTTCTACAAACCCGTGCACCCCCTTCCATAAAACACCTGCACACCTGCACCCCCCAAAAAACCTTGCCTCCCTCTAAAGCCCCTGCTCAGCCCCTTACAATAGAATTAATTTTTTTACACAACAATGTTAGCAACAGTCCTCAGAGTCCAGTCCCAGGCACACAGTCACACAAACAGTTACAGACAGTCACACATGTAATTACAGGCAGCTAGTCACAAACACACACACACACAGTCACAGTCACAGTCACAGGCAGATAGTCACACACATAGAGTTACAGGCAGCATCCCCCGATAACAGGCAGATATTCACACACACACTCACAGGAACACTGTCACACACAGACAGTCACAGGCAGGCACTCACACACAAAGTCATGGGCAAATATCACACATATACACAGTCACAGGCAGACAGTCACACACAGACACACACACACACAGTTACAGGTAGGCAATCACACACTGAGTCACAGGCAGACAGTCACACACACACACTCTCTCTCTCTCTCTCTTACTTACAGTCAGCTTGGGTTTGAACAGGAGTTGATTCAGTCCCTGTTGTCTAGTTGTTGGGAAAGTAGGGACTCCATCGTGCTGGATGGAGGCCGTGTTTAGCTCCGCCCCTGCTGCCAATTAGCTCTGCCCAGTTTTTTTAAGATGCGGACGTTTTTCAAGTTCTGTGAGCTGTGCGGCTGCCATGGAACCCTGAGCGGCCACACAGATCACACATCCCAAGGCCGCCCTGGTCATGGCACCCCCCTAGTGAGTGGCACCCAAGGCGGAGTGTTAAGACACCTCCCGTGTCTTTAAGCCAAACCGCCGTTTAGTAAACCTTCCCCGGCTGCAGTACAGTCTCTGTTCGCTTACTCTGTAACCCACGAACCAAATGCAGGGGAAGCGGCAATCTCCCGATCGAAATCCACGAACGGCTCCAAACTCCCGAACGGCAATATACGAACTGCTAGGAACCATCGAATAATAATATCCCCAAAGCGGCTTTCGTTCCATCCAGCAGTCTCTAAACGTGAAGAAGAAATCCCCCCAATAACGAGACAGAAGCTCCGCATTGAGGGTCAAAATAAGATCTGGGTTTACTGTGGGCTACCTGCCCGTATTTATGCAGGTCTCCCACCTGGTGGACACTCCCCTAGGGGACCAAATGGAAGACTTAAAGTACAGACAGATAGCAGGACATTTCTGACACACAGTCACATATTTTACCCACAGTACATTCCGATTCCCTCCCCTCTGTCCTGGAGTTAATTACCAAGTAACTCAATTAACTCCAGGACAAGGACAGTCGCCATCTTAAACATGAAATAATAAAAGACACAAAAATGCATAACTACATGAAAACTGAACATTTCCCATTCGTATTACATGTCCTCAGATAGCCTGGATCTGAGTGCATATTATTGGCGAATAGCGCTCAGATCCCACACACATAGTTCAATCGCCATGGAGTCAAAGTTCTTACAGTCCTTCGGTACACGAATGACTCCATGGGTGGGCTATCTGGGTTAAGTCTTTTGTGGGTTCTCAATCTCCCGAACGGCCGATGTTCGCATGCTTTCGTGGAGGCAGCCAGGCGTTCCCTTGTTTCAGCGGTGTTGGACAGAAAAAGTGTCCGTTTTCCGTTCCATAGAAATAGAGCCAAACACCGCTGAGCGTTCGCATGATTTAAAATGGCCGCTGCCTCGTGGTCGACATACGAACGACGACCACCCTGAGTTCGGTTTAATTGAGAAGTGTCTGCGTTATAATGGTGATCACTTCGTTAACCTGCAGCACACTCCTCACTTGGGTGGCCGTTCGTTCGGCGGTTTTGTTCGGGAAAAAGAGTCATTCGAATGGCTGGGCTATAGAAACCAGCCATTCATACGAACGGGGACAAACAGACGAACGGGCAAAAATCCAGCAGACAGATGGTTCTGTCACACGGAGCTCCCCCCCTTAGTACGCCACTGCATAGAAACATAGAATGTGACAGCAAATAAGAACCGTTTGGCCATCCAGTCTGCCCAATTTTCTAAATACTTTCATTAGTCCCTGGCCCTCTTAATCTAGGATAGCCTTATGCCTATTCCATGCATGCTTAAACTCACTCACTGTGTTAACCTCTACCACTTCAGCTGGAAGGCTATTCCATGCATCCACTACCCTATCTTTTTTGCAGTGCATGCGCAGTGGCCTCCCAATGCTTTCCTCTGGGAAAGCATTGGATTGTCTGAGATTGTCAAAACTGATGATCTCAGCCACTGAGGTGGGGCCAGCCGCGGCGAGACTGGCGAGGAGTGGGATAAAAGGTGAGTAAAATCACCTTTTCACTGCACAGAAAGGGGTGCTGGGGACCTAAACATGCTTGTATCGTGACATTAAAGTGTTCCTTCAATGCCCTATGTAATGTGATAATTTGATTTCAAAGAAGTCTTCTTTAAAAATAAAAAAAAGATAATTCAGTAACTGGATAGCTAGCGGCTTCATCTTGCAAACACTGTATATATCTTAATAGCTAATTAGTCTGTCTTTAAAACCTGTATTTTTAAATATGAAATAAATATAATTCAACATGAACATCTTTCCTATATTTAAAGATGTTAATATAACCGTAGAGATTCCCTTTTGTATTATAATTACTACTAATTATTCTTAATTACTTTTATAACCGATATGTATTTCTTGATGGAATATATATTTATATATATGTTAATAAAAATGTAATTATTTATTGTAGTAATAGAAAATGTACAGGGAAAAAAACTCTTCCTGGTATACAATCCAAACCTCGATTTTTAAATTCATTGGCATTTTAGTTACTTTTTTTTATTTAACGAATTTACAACTAGCCATAATTGCTGGATGAAAAATTGGGTTTATTCATTAACCCACAGATTGTAATAAATTGAAAATCGAATTACAAAATGTAAGAAAAAATTGCTAACTTTAAAAAAAATATTTAACCCCTTAAGGACCAAACTTCTGGAATAAAAGGGAATCATGACATGTCACACATGTCACGTGTCCTTAAGGGATTAAACTTAGCTACAGTAACCGATTGGCTGTTTTTGACCTAAATATGGTGGTTCATTTCCACGCACGTGTTAAATACTCCTGTTTTATTGAGATAATTTATTTATATTTTTTTGGTCTGCCTGCAAGATGTTGTTGTGTTATAGCTTGAAATAATCTTAACTGTAATGATCTGATTAACCCTATTATTACCCGGTGGTTGATTCACTCATCTGTCCCAGAAAGGGTTAAAAGTTTAAGGTAAAACTAGTTGTCTTTATGAGCACTCTGCGAAAAAGCTAAGTGGATGGGGCACCTTTAGCTTAATGACAGCAATTCAGCTTTTAACAGCGAAAGTGATTATATCACATTTCAAGCTCTGAATCAGTCTGAATCAGTCATAATTGAAATTGCAATTATTTCTGTGGTCGTATAATAAAAGAGACACCATATTTTTGTATTTATCTAAGAGATGAGAGGGGAATTTTAAAGATAAATGAAGCCGCTGACAGAACATAAAATAGTCTGGTCACTGCAGAAAATCTGTACAAGCTAAGAGAAGACCAGCTTATTACCCTTTAACCCATTCGCAGTCTTACATTCCTGACTTGTATTGCCATTTTGCATCCACTTCCAATGCTTCAACTATTATTACACACGTTAAAAGAGGATGCAGTGTGATTAGATCAAAATATTTGATTTGATTAGATAGAAAATTTTAATAAATGCGTTCCTTGCTCAGAAGGGCTTCAAATCAAAAACACCTGCTAAATACTTAAAGGGTCATTCGAAACACCATGACAACTATGAATTATTGCAAAGTTGGTAGTGTATATATACAGCATTCCACGATAATTTATAACTTTAAAGTTGCTTTGAAATGCCAACAATTTGTCAAATTCACTGGAGCTAAAAGCCTGCTCCCTAGCTGTCAATCAGGGAGCCCAGAATGAAATTTCCTGGTTGGTTATGTTAATTCTGTCCAAGTTTTGCCTGCAGCATTTGCGTGCCGCACACAGCTAGGACTTAGCTATCTCTCCACTCTGGGGAGAGCCAGAGAGGACCATGCATCATAAAAACATACAAATAAGGGTGCTGGTAGGGAAGCACAATGCTTCTTGGACATAATACTGATAGATGCGGAGGGAGGAACATGAAGTTTATGGGTCTGGAATATGACCAATGAGACTGATGCCAGTGGCAGTGATATATGGAGACAATATCTGGGGAGAAGGAGAAAGTTGATAGCTGATGATGGGGATAAATTATGTTAATGGATCCGGAGAAAAAAACATAAAGATAATGGGATACAAAGCCAATAACTGGTAACTGGGTGTAGAAGATGTAACAGGGAGAACTGGCAACTTTTGATCTGGGGGCAAGTACAAATAAAGGTTTTTTAGAGCATGTATCACAGCCTTCCATACACTGAGCATTTAATATATGAATTCCACAGATGGAGGCTACTGGAGTTTAGAGATGTGATATATATTACTGCCGCCTGCATCAGTATGACCAATGCAGCACGATGGACCATTTGCAGAGATCTGTGCATGAGTAAGAGATGCACTCAGTTTGTCGGGACCACATTGCCAGCGATGAGAGCTGTTGTATGTATTAACCTATCTTTCATGTGACGCTCAGTTTTCTTTTAAATGTATATTGAGAACAGGGCCGGTGCAAGGATTTTTGCCGCCCTAGGCAAAAGTAAAGTTTGACGCCCCCCTTCTCCCCCCCGTGACATCGCAATGCCCCACCCATATGACCTGCCATGTTAACTAACGCTAGTGCTGCAGTGCCGCTGTGTTTACATTAAAAGGCCTGCAGGGACAGGCTATAGACATCAGGACCACTACATTAAGGTGCAGTGGTTCTGGGGACTATAGTGTTTCTTTAATGTGAGGTAAATTAGAGATTAGTGCCACGAATAATATACTAGATTACCTACTTACAAGCAGATGAGGATGATGATGGGCTCTAGCTGCAGTCTGGCTCCACTGGTCTGGTGTATAACCGGATCTCTGGAGGCTGTTTGTAACTGTGGTCACACAAATCAATGTTCTGGGAGAACGAGAAGCAGCTCCATTTTTTGGGGGCCCTTTACACAGCTCAAGGTCTGGGTCCCAGGGTCCACCTTCATTTTCCACCAATGGGTTTGTTCACAGGGGATGGAGTGTGTAGGGAATGTCCTGATTTGTGTGTAAGGAATGCATTGTGTGAATCTGTGTTTGTATGTGTAAGGGCTGCAAGGTGTGTTTCTGTGTATGTAGTGTGTGCGTGTGTAAGGGGTGCATTGGGTGTGTGTAAGGGGTGCATTGAGTGTGTGTAAGGAATGTATTGTGTGTTTCTGTGTGTGTAAGGGATGCATTGTGTGTAAGGGTTGCATTGCTTGTGTGTGTGTCTAATTCATTGTGTGTGTAATGCATTGTGTGTTTCTGTGCAAAGTTCATTGTCTTTGTGTGTAGGGGTGCATTGTGTGTGATTGTGTGTGGTGAGATTATTAATCTCCCCCCTCCCTTGTCACTCTCTTCTCCCCCCCTCCTTGTTACTCTCATTCCCCTCCCTCCTATCACTCCCCCCCTCCCTGTCAGAGTTTCCTCTCCCGTCAATTCCTCCCCTGTCAATGTCTCCCCCGTTAGTTTCTTTCCCCCCACCTCCCTGTTGGTTTCTTTCTCCCCCCTCCCCTGTCAGTTTCTTTCTTCCCCCCTCCCCTCCCCCCCCTGTTTCTTTCTTCCCCCTCCCTGTTTCTTTCTTCCCCCTCCTTCCCTGTTTCCTTCTCCCCCTCCCTCCCTGTTTCCTTCTCCCCCCTCCCTCCCTCTTTTTCCCCCTCCCTCCGTTTCTTTCTTCCCCCTCCCTCCGTTTCCTTCTCCCCCCTCCCTCCTTCCCTGTTTCCTTCTCCCCCTCCCTCCCTGTTTCCTTCTCCCCCTCACTCCCTCTTTCTTCCCCCTCCCTCCCTGTTTCTTTCCCCTCCCTCCACTCTGAACACTTCTCCCCTCCTCCTGAGCACTTCCCCCCTCCCTCCCTGTTTCTTTCTCCCCCTCCCTCCCTCCTGTTTTCTTTCTCCCCCCTCCCTCCTGTTTTCTTTCTCCCCCCTCTCCACCCTGTTTCTTTCTCCCCCTCCCTCCTCTGTTTCTTTCTTCTCCCCCCTCCCTCTTTTCTTCTCCCCCTCCCTCTCTCTCTGTTTCTTTCTCCCCCTCTCTCCCTCCCTGTTTCTTTCTCCCCCTCCCTCCCTCTGTTTCTTTCTTCTCCCTCTTTTTTTTCTTCTCCCCCTCTTCTCCTCCCCCTCTCTTTTTTTTTCTTCTCCCCCCTCCCTCCCTGTTTCTTTCTGCTCCCCCTCCCTCCCTCTCTTTTTTCTTCTCCCCCTCCCTCCCTCTCTTTTTTTTTTCTTCTCCCCCCTTCCTCCCTCTTTCTTCCCCCTCCCTCCCCTACCTGTGTGGTAGTGTGGCCGAGCCCAGTATAGTCCGACCGGTACAGGGAGCTGTTGTTTCCTGTACCCGGCCGGACTAACAGGAAGTGAACACTCAGTGTTCACTTCCTGTTAGTCCGGCCGGGTACAGGAGACAGCTGCTCTCTGTACCGGTCGGACCAATAGAGGGCTCGGCCACGCTACAGAGAGGGAGCTGACAGGTGGGAGCGCTCAGCGCTGAGCGTGTCCCTCCTGTCAGCCTCTCCTCAGGCTGCGCCCGGGCGGTGCGGTCCGCCCTCATGGACGCACCGCCCGGGCAATGCTGCAGCCGCCTGAGGCTCTTCACAGAGCGCTCGGGCGGCTGCAGCATGAGCGGGGCCGGCGCTCCTGGCGGCGCCCCCTCCCAAGGGGCGCCCTAGGCGGCTGCCTAGTCCGCCTTACAGGTAGCGCCGGCCCTGAGTCCATCACATTATCATTCAAGTTATTTTTGTCAGAGAGTACTTTACACCTATTTGCAGTGGGGAAAACAGGCCTTTCAGAATGACAATCCTTAGTCTGTTTTAGGTATGATTTTATAGACAATGTTTTTGGACTGGTGTATTTTTTTTTAATTCTCTGTATTTATAATTATTAGAAGGTTTTCCCATAAACTTCACAAAGGAAGTCAATGGTTTAGCCAGCCATTATTCATTTCTGTAATCATTCTCCCTTCTGTATTCCTATCAGTTTAATCTTAAATGTTCCTGCTTTATGTTCTTACGGTTTTCATTTTCTTACAGTTTGATCTGCCAGAAATGTTTTCTTTTTCTTTTTGACTCTGTTGTCATATACTTATTTTGGATTTTATCCATAAGTTCCATACTGTCCTACTACTAAATAAATGTGGCTTATTTGTTTTTTTGTTTTTTGACTAGTGGTTTCCACATCCAGATCATTTAGATTGGTTCTTCTTTTAAATATATTATAACTAACAAAAACCAAAAAACAAATGATCAAAAAGTATATACCATTTCAAATTGAACTCTGTATCATTATTTCTCCACTGTGGGAGTCAAAAACAATCTTTAAGGGATACTCCATTGCCCAACTAAAAAATAAATTGGCATCACTCATATACCCAATAAAAACATGCATACTTTTAATTATGCATTTTTTTCATTGTGGGTAAATCTGACAACAGCTAGCAAAAGATGCAGATCTCTTGTCTGCAGTCTTTGCAAGCTCCTCCCTTCTAACCCACCCAGACTTTCTGTGACTGTCCAATCACATACTCTCCAATGCAGGTCAATGAAAAGTCTTGGCAAGGCAGATGCTCTGGGTAATTGCCTGCCTCTTGGGTTTAGCTTCATTGAGCTAAACAACCAGGATGTAACAGGACTGGTTGTCTGACTGCCAGTGAGTTGTAACCAGGTTCATAAAAGAGCAAATTTCTATTGTAATCTGCACTTTTTTGTATAATTAAAAAAAGAGGACACACTCTTCACTCTTCACACATATCTTGCGCAAGCTTTGGGGGTCTGGAGTGTCCCTTTAATACTTTAGATATTTTAATTTTTTCAATATTAAAACCATAAAACCCATAAAACACCTTCACCTGCTCTTGATATTCCAATTATCTCCAATTTTTATTTTTCACAGTTTAGCAATGATCTGTTTTCTCCTCCTCTTTATTTCCTCAGTCTCCCTCAGTATAAAAATTTCTCCTTACACCCACTTCACTCATCCCCCTATCCACATTTACATATGCCCTTCTCTGCTACACTCCCCCCTTCTTTCATCTCATGCCTTACACTCATTTTTCTACTCTCTCACTCCAACCCACAACCGATCTCATCCTAGACCCCATGCATACAAAACCCATTCACACCTCCTGTCACTTTCTCTCCTCCTATTTCTAGCAGCTGGTGATGTCTCTCCCAATCCAGGGCCCTTCACCTTCTCTACACACACTAAGACAACCAGAAACCCCACAAACCTCATCACAATACCCTGCCCTTTACCCTCACTTACCAAAATCAATTGTGCACTCTGGAATGCCGCTCCATCTGCAGTAATTTAAAATCAACAACCATACACGACTTTTTCATCTCAAACTCACTCACACTGCTTGCACTTACAGAGACCTGGCTGTCCCCCTCTGATAGCGTTACTCCTGCCTCTTTATGTTTTGATGGGCTACAATTCTCTCACACTCCCAGACTCAACTGTAAAGGAGGCGGCGTAGGCATCCTTCTCTCTCCTCAATGTACCTTTCAACCAATCATAACCCCCCCTGCCCTATCCTTTTCTTCTTTTGAAGTTCACACTGTCCACCTATTTAAACCCACTCCTTTAAGAATTGCTATCATCTACCTCCCCCCCGGTTATCCTAGACTATTCATTGAGCACTTTTCTTCCTGGCTTCCCCACTTCCTCTCATCTAGCACTCCTCCCCTTATACTTGGGGATTTCAATATCCCAATCAATAACCACAATTGCACTGATGCCTCTCTTCTGCTCTCTGTAACCTCCTCCTTTGGCCTTACGCAATGGTCCAATCTAGCAACCCATACAACGGGAAACACTCTTGATCTTGCCTTCACCAACCTCTGTACTGCCTCTATTCTCTCCAATATTCCCTTTCCTCTATCTGACCACCATCTGCTGACTTTTGACATTGGCATACCTAAGACCCAATTGACACCACCGTCTGAACATCACTCTCACAGAAACCTCAATGTCTTGACCTAGAGCATTTCTCCACTAATCTCCAAACTCTCCTTTTACCTATCTCAAACCTCACCTGTCCTAGTTCTGCAACCTCCTTCTACAATTCCACCCTCTCCTCTCAACTAGACATCATGGCACCTTGTACATTTAAACGCTGCAGGCCCCCCCAACAACAACCCTGGCACACCAAGCTCACTCGATACCTCCAAAAATGCTCCAGAACTGCTGAACGCTGTTGGAGAAAGTCTCACTGTGCATCTGACTTTCTCCACTATAAATTTATGCTGAGCTCATACAGCTTGGCTCTTTCCTCTGCAAAAGTTAATTACTTCAATACCCTCATAACCACACTCTCCCGCGAACCCAAACGACTATTTCACACATTTAACTCTCTTCTTCGCCCTGCTGTTCCTCCTCCACCTATTAACTTGACCGCCTCAGACTTTGCAACTCACTTCACTGACAAGATCTCTACAATCAGAGAAGAGATATCTCATCTTTCTTCTTCCTCTTACAATACTTCCCCTAACTTCACTCCCTCTGCTGTTCTATGTTCATTCGCACCTGCTACATTGTAAGAAGTTTCTGCTCTGCTCCAGTCCTCCCGCCCCACCACCTGCTCCCTAGATCCAATTCCCTCGCATCTCATCCGTACTCTGTCTTCTTCTCTTTCTCCATCTCTCACTAAAATCCTCAATCTCTCTCTCTCCTCTGGTATATTTCCATTGCCCTTCAAACATGCAACTGTAACCCCAATTCTAAAGAAGCCCAATCTTGACCCTTACTCCCCATCCAACTATCGTCCTATCTCGCTACTGCCTTTTGCATCCAAGATCCTTGAAAAATTGTGTATGCGAGATTGACAGACTTCCTCGAGTCCAACTCTCTGCTAGACCAGCTTCAGTCTGGTTTCCGCGCTAAGCACTCTGTGGAAACGGCACTGACCAAAGTATCCAATGATCTACTCGCTGCAAAATCTCGTGGTCACTACTCTATCCTAATTCTCCTTGACCTGTCTGCGGCTTTTGACACTGTTGATCATCAACGGCTTCTTCTCATCCTCCGCAATATCGGTCTACAAGATACTGCTCTCTCCTGGTGCTCCTCCTACCTCTCCCAGCGCTCTTTCAGTGTTTCTTTCTCTGGCTCTGCTT